ATATATATATATATATATATATATTTTTTTTTTTTTATTATTTTTTTTTTTTATTGGTCTTTTATGGTATTTTGGACTCTAAACATCTTTAATCAATCAACTTTTTCATTTCTGCAGCCTGAAACTCAGAGCAGATTTAGGGTCTGACAAACAATTTACAACTTTTTGGTTCTGCAATTGTTTGTTTTTTAGTTCCTGTTTGTTTGGAGGAGGTGGGGCTTCTTTAAACTGATGATGTCACAGGTTTAAATGGACCAATCAGGTGCCACCTTTAAATAAAACTCAACACCTGTTATGGAAATGTAGCCAAGTGGCTTTAAACATCTTAAAAAAAAAACATTCAAGATAAAATAAAACATTTTTTTTTTACATAAAATGTTTAAAAGTAATGTAATTTGAAATGTTAATTTGAAAAATAAAATAAATTCTGCCCCGCCTCTTGCACAGTGACTGCTGGATATGGGCACCAGTGACCCCCGTGACCCGGGTAAAGAAGATAATGGATGAACGATTTAGTTGTTTTTGACGAGTTATAGGAGTGACTTCACTTGATCAGGATGTTTCTGCAGCTTTAAGTGGATCAAAGTCCGACAAAGTTCTGGTACCAGAAATCAAGAGTTCACTGATCCTGATCCAAACAAAAACTCCGGTGATGTGTTTAATTCTGTTTTTGTCTTAATCTGCGGGAGGAAATGTGAATCCAGTCTAATGATGGAAAATAGAGAATACACAGTGATATTTAAACTTGTGGGTCAGAAACAGCTTAAAACGAGAACTTTAGATGCTAGCTGACCTCTGAACTTCACAGCAAACAGTTTTTACTGATAATCTGGATTAAAGCAGTCCAAGAACATGCGTGTTCGGCTGCCTCTCTTACAATAGAGACCTGTGATCTTAATGAGATTTAAATGGTTAAATAAATGGTAAAACATAAATAAAACGCAGAATATTTCATTTGAGTTAACCTGAAGTCTAATTTCTTTCCGTTTCAAAGGTTAATCTGAAAAGTATTCTCACTTTAAGACAGACACATGAGCTGATCTAGACCTGGTTTCAGATCCAGAACAACGAGGAGTTTGATCCTTTGGAAGAGGAGGTGAAAACGGAGACGACCTGAGCAGGTCGGGGTGGACTGTAAAACGGGCCACATCCAGAGAATAAACCTGAGGATAATTTCACGACCGACTCAGATTAGGTCATCTCTGCTGCAGCGACCCGAGGAGGAGGAACCGAGCCTTTCTTTCCGGTCTGCCAGGTGAGGCCAAAGTCACGCCGCGGCGCAGAGAGCAGAAAGGTGAGGCTGAATCAGTGGTTAATATGTGCCGACACGGCCCGCTTCACCTCCGCCACAACATCTTTCTGCACGGAGAACGTGCAGCCAGACGCCGCGTTGCTCTGCAGATTAACAAGACCCGAGGTCCAGAATAAAACATGTCTCTGACTAAATTAAATTCAACACGGGGAATAAAACAAAGCTTGAAACGTCGAAATTCACTCGGAGTCCAACAGAATCGCTTTTAAATCTGGGTGAAGGTCGGCGATGGTGGCAAGATTAATAATCTGCTTCATGTTCAGGGTGAATGGTGTTTTGACGCTCCATGCTTTCATTGTTCTGTCCCACGGTTCTGGAGGGGTTTCGACAGTGAAGCCTCACAGAACAAGACCCGTTTAATGGACTTATCTGAACCACTGACCTGGAATAACAACCAGCTATGACCGGAGCTGCCATATTTACATCAACTGACAAGAAGACCAAGATTTAATAGGAACGTGTCGTGGAAAGGTGCTGCAGTCTGGCTCATCCACGACACTTTATGTAAATCCAGCTCTAGTCAAGAGTTACATCCACTCATTGTGAATAGAAGGTCCGATTAATTTCAGGTTCTGAGGAATTCTTTGAGCCGTTCATCTTTCAGGATAGAAATATATACAGTAGTCCCTCGTTAATCGTGGGGGATCCGTACCCTGAAGACCTGCGATAAATGAAAAACCACGAAGTAGGGATAGTAGTACAAGTAGTACGTAGTAGTTTATTTTAGTACACATATATATAAAGGCGTTTAAAACCCTTCCCACTCTTGCAATATTGTAAACAATGTTTCTAAACGCTCTAAAAGAGCACAGATGTCATGATGTCAGCTCTCTGCCTCTGCTGCTCTCAGCCACTTGCAAGCACTCTTGGCCACGCCCACTTCTCCGCTCTGCACAGTGAACAGCTGATCAGCTGCAGCAGGAAGTTTATCCTGCAGTGTGGGCTGCACAAATGTGCAGCAGGTGCTAAATAATTCATTTAAAATAAAAATTCCATGCTGATCGCATGGCTCATCCATCAATCGGCCAATTGTGTCTCATGTCCAATCTTATTTTGAAAAACCGCTACTTTACAGTTCGACTTTCGCTGTTTTTCAAGGTAAGATTGTACACGACACACAATTGTCAACTTTAATATTATTCACATGATTGGGACGGTACGAGGATAAAAAGTTAATGAAAAAAATTGTGGACAGGCGCCAGCATTTTGTAGTTTTCTTCCAATAAGCCTACACTGTAACGCAGGTCAAAAGGACTACACTGCCCAGAAGTCAACAGTGCTTCCAGCAGCTGCTTTCTGCTGAAATGGAGGGAAAGTTTTGCAACGTAAAGTCAGAAGTAACGATCTATCTATTAAGCTCACAGAACTGGCAGGAAAGTCACAAATAATCCTGAAGCTCAATTATCCACGTGCACGTCAACCTGGACGGGGAGGTGGGTTTCCTAGCTGCAGGGTAGGTCTGCAGAACAGGAACAGAGCTGCTGGTCTGCAGAGCTGGTGAGTAAAATTTTGCAGTACTGTACAGTACATATATGCATGTTGTTAAAATGACGTAGGTTTAAGAGTTTAGAACATTGCAGGAGTGTGGGAAGGATTTATAAAGAATTAAAATATATATAAATAATAAAATAGAGTTCTTACTTAACAATTTTTCACTCATCATGGTGGTGTGTGGAACGTAACCCCAGCGATAATCAAGGGACTACTGTAAATGTTTGTGGACTCTACATTAAAACCTGAACTGAAACCAGGAAACCAAATGATTTAAATGAAGTCCACCAAGAAGAAGAGCAGTCCAATATTAGCCAGAACCTTATTGATAGAGACAACCAGTCTAAGGTCTGGGAGACACTGGCTGAGGGACATGAGACCAAAGATTGGTGGAGTGAATGAGAAGAACCCTCCAGATGTTAGTTCTGTTGGACCTACAGCAAAACATGTTAGATTCTGGATTGTGTAACTTTGTCAGAGTTCTTAACGATCCGTTTAGGTCAAAGACAAAAAAAAAAGATTAATAAGAGGGACATGTAGAACTGAGATGAAGGACCAGCGTGTCCTGTTACTGACCTGCAGCACCGAGTGTCCAAGTGGACTGTTCTCCGGCAGGTCGGCCTCGTAGTGATTCCTCTCGAACTTGGGCGAGTTGTCGTTCTGATCCGTCACGGTGACCCGCAGCAGAGCGCTGCTTGCCCTCGGCGGCTTCCCACCATCCACGACTCGAATGTTCAGGTCGTACGAGTCCTTCTTCTCCCGGTCCAAGTTTCCCAAGACAACCAGCTGCGGCAGCTTCTCGTCCGTGTCCAGGGCCACCTGCAGGGTGAAGAGCTGGTCGGCATCTGGTCCGGCGCTCAGAGAGTACTCGGCCACGCCGTTGGAGCCGGAGTCCCTGTCGGTCGCCATGGAGATAGAGAAGAGGGCGCCGATGTGCGTGTTCTCAGGGATGGCCAGGGAGAGGATCGGTGAGGAGAACTGCGGCGTGTTGTCGTTGATGTCCAGAACCTCAATGAGACCTTCAATAAGCCGCGGCCCCAATCCGATCCCCTTCACCATGTCGGTGATCGTCACCTCAAACTCCAGGAAGCATTTATCGTCCTCGAACAGGTTGCGGCAGTCTCTGAGCGTCTCACGGTCGATGGGGACCTCAGTGGTATAGATGTCTCCAGTTTTCCCGTCCACTCGGAGGTACGGAGCGCCAATCTCCAGCTTGTAGAGATGTCCGGTATCAGGCAGGCCCTGATCTGCAGCCAGGCTGCCAATTAGCGTGTTGGGCGGCTGCTCCTCAGGAACCCGGTACAGGATGTCTGTGGGCGCCGCGCCGCATGAAACTGTCAAGACAACAGCCAGGAGCGCCAGAACATCCCACCTCATCAGAGCCATGTTTCTGCCAGACGACACTGCTCTGAAACAGACAGGAACGCAGAGTTAAACTCTTGATCTTCAGTTCAAGTGAAACTGATCCTCGGCCATACATACAATCCAATTTTTAATTCAGTGTATTTATATAGCGCCAAATCCCAACAAAGTTGTCTGAGGGCACTTTATAAGAACATTCACATACATAGAAAGATTATTAGTAAAGTTCTCTATGTAGGAAGCCAGCAGACTCAATGAACCCTCACTTTGTTGCAGTCTCCCATCCTGGACAAGCACAATGGCAACAGTGGAAAGGAAAAACTTCCTTTTAAAAAGAAGAAACCTCCAGCAGAACCAGGCTCAGGACAAGCGGCCATCTGCTTTTAAGGATGCACCGATCCACATTTTGTAACTTCCGATGCGATCCCGATACCTAAATCTGGATATCGGTCGATACCGATCCCATTCCGATATCATCATCATTATTGATTTTATGTGAGGCTGTAATAATCTCCTCTCTATAGGCAAGTACAATTTGTACAAATATATGCATGTCCAAAAAGGCAACATGAGGTAAGTTTTATTAATGTTGGATAAGTGTCAAAGTTAGAATTAAATGCTGCTAACACAAAGCATGTTTTTTTTTTATTCCTAGCTTTAAAGTAGGAATGTGCGATATGGCCTAAAATTCATATCACGATATGTATTGTGAAGGGTGGCGATAACGATATATATCGCAATATGTTCTGGATATAAAACTTAATAGGAATTTAAAAAAAAACATAGGGTGTTCTTTTGTTATCATATATTTTGAATTTTAAAAAATCCACTACTAGGTCCAGAGAGTTTTCAAATAATAAACAAATCAAGTATTAGGCTTCTTGCTTGTAGTACAAAACAGTGCAAAATATATAAAATGTAGTTTTAGCCACATGTTTTAAACAAAATAATATGTTGTTAACAGTTTCCAGTCTTCTCAAATAAGAAATCAACAGCAACAGAGCAGCATTTTACACTGAAACACTTCACCCTCCAAACCTCTAGTGGGCGCCTCCTTCCGTTTTAATGGAGAGCTGACACAAAATGAATGTGTCTTTGACCTGAGGGTCTCACAGTAAAATCACACAACACAGCGTTCTTTTTACAGATCTGAGAGCAGGTTTCTCTAAAGCTGACCAACGCTTACTTTAACTTTAGACAGAAAAAAAAAAAAAAAAAACCTTTTGACGGAATACAGCGTTTTGCGCATGCGTCCGAATACAGCAACACTACAGCAAGTCGGCCGTAGTTAGCTTGTAGCTTCGCTACTTAGCTCTCGAAGAAAAGACTAACACCACTTGTGCACAGTTTTCAACTCCAAAAAAGTAACGATTAAACTGAAAACTCAGATTTTACATCAGACACAGCATTACTGCGGTTAGCCGGTAGAAGACAGATCTCTAGGCTAAATTTCTATTGTTTCTACCGTATACCATTGATATCGCACATTCCTACTTTAAAGTGGATATTAAAGTGATTAGATGGCTTTAAACATCTGCTAAATTCAATTCATGGCATAAACCTACACAAACATGTTTCTGTTTTAGTATTTTAAATCACTTTATAATGCAGCTGTTTTTGTTTAGTTAAAAAAAAAAAATTAATGTAATTTACAAATCATGTTTTTTTAATGATTGTCTACTGTTGTACTGATAAATATCTCCTGGAGGGTAAACTATATTTTGGCTGCAAGTATCAAGTTGTGAAATCCTTCATTTTCTACAGCTGATAGCAGTTGTTCATTAATTACGATGAAGTTTAGCAACTTCTCGGTAAACATTCGAGCTCCGGGGCTTCAGTGATGCGTTATTTTCGATCAGTCCGGAGAAGGCAGTCTGATTTCGGTCAGCCGCGCTCAGTCTGCCCCTCTTCCGACACGGACAGACTGAGCGGGTCAGACTGAGCGTGGCTGACCAAAATCAGACTGCCTTCTCCGGACTGAACGAAAATAACAAACCGCTGAAGCCCCGGAGCTCGAATGTCCATCGTAAAACTAACTTTATCGCGGTTTAATGTGGTGCTATGGCTCTGCAGACATTGCACGTTGCCGTCTTGTTTTATGGTGTTTCTAGTGTAAAATACTTCCACACAGCGGACGTGTTTGATGAAAAGTTTGTTAGCCGTTAGCCACAGTGCTACTGCATGTTGTAGCTGGCTGCAAATTATGAAATAGATTTCCTGAATGCAAGGCGGGTCTCATTACTCTGGGTTCATGAGACACATCTCCGTTCAGGAAATCCATTCCATAGTTTGAAGCCAACGTGCAGCGCAACCACAGACATGCATCATGGATCGGAAATATCGACGGGTTGGATCGGAAAAATCCGACAGGTAAATTATGCTGGTATCGGAGACCGATACCGATACTGGATCGGCCCCATCCCTATCTGCTTTGACCATTTTTAATTCTTGATCTACAAGAGCTGCACATCTCTCAGTAGCTGTTGTGCTGCCACTCATGTTACAACAATAACACCTGCTGCTTATATATGTAAGTATTTTTATTTTAAATTAAATTTAGTGTGCACTCTATAGATCGGCATTTACGGTAGATTAAGGTTCTAGTTTACAGTCGGTGACGCAGAGTAGGCCTGTCACGATAACAGGTTTTGCTGGGTGATTAATTGTCTCAGAAATTATTGTGATAAGCGATAATATTGTTTGAAATTTAACAATAATTAATTGTCAAATTTTAGAAGACATTGATTTGTTTAGAGTGTAGTACCTTTTTTGACCACCGGATGGTTGTGCAGCGTGTCTAAGAAAAATGGGAGGGAGGGTCCTTGACGTGACATGGACTGACATGGTGACATGGCAGACGCTCGGTGAGTTGAGCTCTTTAGCATAGCCTTTTCCACACAAAGCTTTTAATAAAAAATCATTAAACAAGTTCTCAGCTTCTTGTTGCAGAGAAAAACAACTTTTTACACGAAGGCACGGGTTTAAACCGTGAATTTTGAAGCTCGGCAAGACGGAGGTTTATTCCCGAGGTCGGCCTGTTAGCTTAGCGTCTCAGTTTAGCTGCTTTTAACGATTCAGAAACGTGATTTTGGACGGTTTAACAGATTTTAAAGAGAAAGGGAGGGGTCAATGAAGGGCACTAGAGTTGAGCCGTGTCTTCAGAAGAGAGAGAGACACGAAGAAACGATAAAGCTGCTAAATGAAAATGAGGTCAATAATTTTCATTCATCACGTGATTAATTGATTTATTGTTTATCGCGACAGGCCTAACACAGAGTATCATCAGGTTTATGAAAAGGGATAGAATGAGAAAAACGAGGGAACATAAAGTGTAAAACTTTAGAAGTGACAGTAATGTGTATCCGCCCATTTCAAGCATCGTTTACAAGTTATAACATAATGAGTACAAAAACTGGACTCACATACATCTATATTAAAGGATCCAGAAATCCAACAAGTCTCAGAAAGCAGTTCCTAGAAGTAAAGGAGTAAAAAAAAAACCAATTAAATTGGTATGCCTCTTTTGTAACTGTCTATTGTTGTTGTTAACCACTGTTGTCATCACTCTTTGTTATATATGTTAAATCAGGTCTCTCTTGTAAATGAGTCCCCGAGGCTCAATGGGATTAACCTCTATAAACAAAGGTTGAATGAAAAAAAGTTCCAGGTACTTTGGGTCCAAAGGATTCCTTAAATCCCCTAAATGGGCAGCAGAAATTACTTTATTGTGATTTTTTTTTAAAACTCTGCTAATTATGGTTTGAAGTTATAATAATCTGACTTTTGGAGCAAAAAGGTTTTATTTACAGTAAAGTTTAAACTCCCTCTGACCTCGCTCACTTCCTGGAATAATTCAGAAATGCTTCCCGACTGTTCATAACGCTTCACCTCTTTCTGCACATCGTCTGGAGAGGCTCCTGCTGGCCGTCCAGCTTAATCTTTTATTTTCAGATTTTAAACCATCTGAGCAGAAAACACAACTTTTTTGGGGTTTTTTTACCCTCCGAACACTCGTGTGTGTGGGGGAGGTGGGTTCTGACGGACGGGCTCGGATCAACTCGAAACGTGGATCAGGTTTCTACAAATACCTGACATAAAAAAAAAAAAACCTTCCAGAGTGAAGGACTCCAGAAATCCTCCGTCTGGTGTTGAAAATCAGTTAAAGCGCCTGTTTCTGATCTTTAATCATAAAACTCACGTTGAACTTATTAATCATCCTGAAATAAAACCTGCGTGTTCCCCACTCATAATGTCAAGCTCCCGATGTTCCTTAATCTGAGAGAATGGCGTGTTTTTGACGTTCATTTGACGTGAAAAATGAGCCTCGTTCAGCTTTTCCTCCGAGTTCATTTGTCCCAGCCGACGTCCCGAACACCGGCAGCCTCAAATGATGAATCGTGCATGAAAAAAAAAAAGTTAAAAACCCGTTTCTTTCTGCTCAGAAAGCACAGATTAAACAGAACAGGATCAGAACTGAGTGGAATTTCATTTTTACTGAAGTTACTGAACTCAGTTTACAGCTGAAACGTGCTCCTTATTTACAAAAAATACGATACAAACAAAAGGTATTTATCTGCTCACTCGTGGTTTCCATGGACGAGGGCACAAAACGAAAGTCTAGACCTCGTTTTTCGATCTGATTAAAGCAAAATAAAACCATTCCTGCTCTCTGAGTGACATCTGTTTATTGAGTGAAATAAATTTGAGCAGCTGCTGCAGGAAACCGACCTGAACTCATGAACAAACAGATCTGAACTCGTAAACAAATATAAAAAACAAATGTCTGAGCTGCTCAACCCCCGAACATCATAAACAAGAACCTTCTGCCCGACGTGTTTATTTCCTCACATTCTCTCTCCAAATACCCCGAACCAACAACCGTTGACCTCTGACCCCACGACATTTCCGGCGTCACTGTGGAAACGAAGCTGAAGCGCTTGGGCACAAATGCACTTTTTTCTTATTTAAAGAGTGGAACATCTTTAAGTTTCCTTCAGTTTCTACAGGAAACCTGCTGCTTCACCTGGGGACTGCTCTGTTTCCTAA